TGAGAATTGCCTGCGTCCTCCGCTCTGAACTCTCAGTCTTTGGTTCAGTGCAGTGGACATGTGAAATAAAGGTAATATCTACCAGGGACATCAGGCAGCTTTGTTTCTGTCTCGGACAGTATCTTGATTGTCACCATCTTGAGTAGTGTCGTCAATCATAGTCCACCTCCCCCTCCCCAACCTAATTGCTCCTTTCTGTTCACCCCCTTACATCCATCTAACACCGTCCTCCCTTTTTCTCATCCCTTGTCTTCCATGTTTTTTCTTTGTCTTCATCACTGATCATCTGCTAGCATGACTGTTAAAAGATACTTCTTTAAAACGCCGTATCAGTCATTATAGAAATGTGACCAAAAAAGGGAACGCAAGAGACAGATGTTTTTGTTTTGTTTTTTAGCTCTGTTAAAATGCCATTTCTCCAAGTTATTCTGGAGCAAATCAAGCTTCTGAGAAAAAAAAAAAAGATTTCTCCAACTATAGTCATTTTTGGATGTAAGAGCTTTGGAAGTTAATGTTCAGGTTTTTTTTTTTTTTTTGCACATTCTTCGTTTCCTTTAAAAAAAATTAGGCTGAAGATTAGGGTAAATTTACAGTGAAGGTAAATGGGGATGATTTTTGGAGGATTTAGAAGCAGAAATGTAGAGCTCGTAATTTTTGTCAAGACAATCATTTCTTTATTAATATGTTTATTGTTCGAGCTGTAAAGCATTTTTTTACAGTTGTTTTAGGGTAAACAAAGTTGTACACAGAATATAACTTTACACTGTTTAAATGTTTTTTTAAAGCCTAAAAAATATATGTGAAAAAAATATATCATAGATGATGAAATCTAGATACATACAGATATAGATCTTGCACACTACTCATGTTTGCATCATAACAGAAATTTTAATGAGCAATGTTTCAGTCAATTGGCCTTCCTCAGGCAAACTTGAGTAGTGTGTGTGATCTATATATATATTGTTTATTTTAAAGAAAAGGTGAAAATTATTTTTGTTCTAATCAACTTTATGCCACAAGTGCTGTAAACACTTTAAATACCTTGTCAGTATTATACTTTTATACAGTCGTTTCAGTAAAGCCACACTGTAAAAATTATTGTAATTCTAATTATGAAAGACTCTATGTCACAAATCCAGTCCGTGGTCTTCCGCCTGCTCGCCACCAGAGGTCGCCTTCTGATTACATTGACTTTCACACCACACAAACTGTTGCACGTCACCCTGGACTACATTTCCCATGCACCATTGCACTGATTGGACTCACCTGCAGCCAATCACACACACACTATATAACAACCACTCAAATCCTTCTCTAATCGCCGGGTATTGTCTGCGTTTATCACTCTCCTAGTGGTAGCACTTTACAGAGCCAGTATCCTGTCTGAGTTTAGTCTAGTTCCTAGTTCTAGTCCTGTTTCATAACGTCTAGTTTTGCCTGATTGTCTGTTCCTGATAACCTGCCTGTCTTGGATTTCTCTCTCGTCTTGTTGTTTGGATTCTGTTCGCACCTCGCCTGGATTAATATCTGTCTGTGGATTACTCGCCTGCCTCATCCTTTGGATTATGTTCGCCGTTGATCGACCTATGCCTGTTTATTGGATCACTCTTCTCTCTTGCCCTCTAAATACCTGTTTGCCATTGTCCAACCCTTGCCTGTTTTGACTATCTTTAAGAATAACGCTTTGCAGATGGATCCGCACGTCTCTCATCTCGTTCGCCCCGTTACACTCTAAAAATACTATGGTAAAAAACTGTTAACTGGTTAATAGTAAGTTTATTTACTATATATGATGAAAAAAATTATAATTGACATTCCCAGAATTACCTCATTACATTTGGTCATTTTTAGGTTTTCATGTTACATCTTATGTATAGTTTACCTAATGTTTACTGCATTATTTTAGTGTCATATATAGTTTATTGCTTGTGAGGAATTTTGATTCATTATGTGCCTTTCTTTTTACCACCTGTGTTATTATGTTGGATATCATGCATATGTTAAAGGTATAAAGCAGCAGAAATGGTTATGCAAATTCAGAAGAGTTTTGTTTTACAGTTTTATACTGTAAAATTTACAGGTTACTCTGTAAAGTTGTTAGCATTTGTACTGTATTTTTACACAATTATTCTTTGAACCACAGCTGCCAGTTTTGTTTTGTAAAAACAACAATTTTTCTTACAGCGCATGCTGACTCTGGCTCCCACACTGTAGATAAATAATTGTCTGTGGAACATTTGGGGAAGTGCCTCTTGTTTTCTAGTGTGTATGATCTTGTAAGGTGGGATACTGTGGCAAGGCAGGCCAGTAAGTGTCTCCCTCCTGCTGTGAGAGGCAGGAGGAATGAATCCCTCTTCTGTCCTGAGCAGATGTTTCCGCTGCTTTAACAGATTTAGACACACCTGCTGCCTTCAGCTTCAGTTCAAATTAAGGTGAGACCGGTCTGCATGAGTTTAAGATCTCCTGAAGTTCCTCCATGTTGTCTGGAGACTAGTTAGAATGTGATCTATTTCTGTGTATCTAACTGGATGTGGTTCAGCTGGGTCTCACTGACGCCCATGGTGACGCTCATCACATCATTCTGTAGAGCAGAATTAGAAAATAGATATTCCCACAAGAGTGCTGAGATTTTGCTTATTGCTGTCTCTACATTTCATTGTTTCATGAGTGCAGAGATAATAGTACTGCAGTTTGTTGCAACTGGAGCAGAATCAAAGATTATAGTTATTAGATCATTATTTATCAAACTGCTTCTTTCTCATTATAATACACTGATCTTAAGTGATGGATGATTGTGAAATAATTGCATGTCATTTAGTTTACAATTAAGAGTCTACTGAGTTAATTTTAACTTTGCATAAATTTAATGATTAAGTATTGGATTGTGTTTCCTTTCTGTTTTGTAAATGTAACGAAACATCTGACAGTCCTGTAGGCAGGTCGTTGTCAGGTGCCATTTGTGTCCCCATGAGCCATGAGACCTGATATAATTATCACTGAATTTACTGACATTATTTGACTGGTGTGATTTTTTTTTTTTTTTTAAGAAAATGTGCATTATTTCAATGGTTTATTCTTAATCATAATATTAACCAGTTTGCATGTCCTCATTCATCACTATTACATTTTAATGGATTATAGAATTAGTATTAGTATTATACACTTAGTATTGTACCCAAGTTTTGCTTTTATTGAAATAAATTTCACTTCATAGGCATGTTCTTGTCCAGGCCCTTGTCATCTCTAGGGTGGACTACTGCAATGCTCTTCTGGCTGGACTTCCATCAAGCACAATCAAACCTCTACAAATGATTCAGAATGCAGCGGTACAACTGGTCTTCAACGAGCCCAAAAGAGCCCATGTAACACCTCTCTTTATCTCCTTGCACTGGCTGCCGGTTGCGGCTCGCATCAAGTTCAAGACATTGATGCTTGCATACAGAACAGCCACGGGCTCTACATCCTCCTACCTTCATTCACTCTAATGAGGCTACATCCCCTTCAGAAGCTTGAGATCTGTAAGTGAGCAACACCTCATGGTACCATCACAGTGAGGAACAAAATCACTTTCCAAAACGTTTTTTTTTTCTTTTTTTCTTGTTGGTCTCCTTGTCATTTCTAGGCTGGACTATTGCAATGCTCTTCTGGCTGGACTTCCATCAAGCACAATCAAACCTCTACAAATGATTCAGAATGCAGCGGTACGACTGGTCTTCAACGAGCCCAAAAGAGCCCATGTTACACCTCTCTTTATCTCCTTGCACTGGCTACCGGTTGCGGCTCGCATCAAGTTCAAGACATTGATGCTTGCATATAGAACAGCCACAGGCTCAGCACCCACCTACTTCCACTCACTACTACGAATCTACATCCCCTCCAGAAGTCTGAGATCCGCTAGTGAGCAACGCCTCGTGGTACCATCACAGAGAGGCTCAAAATCACTTTCCAGAACATTCTCGTTCACCGTTCCTGGCTGGTGGAACGATCTTCCCACCCCTATCCGGAATGCTGAATCCCTGACAATTTTCAAGCGACAGCTGAAAACTCATCTCTTTAAACGCTACTTGACTTCATCTTAAAAAAAAACTTTTTCTTTCTCTTTATTCGTTCCTTCCCTTTTCTAGCTTGTACTTATTTGAACAATGCCTAAAACTTGGTATTTCAAGCATTTCCTGTGTCTGTTTGCCTCTTTAAGAAGAATCGCGTTATGTATTCCCCAATTGTAAATCGCTTTGGATAAAAGCGTCGGCAAAATGACTAAATGTAAATGGAAATGCATGTACACTGTAAAAAATGACTATTCAAGTTAAATAAAACAAAGATTATTACAGTAGTTTTTTTTACAAGAAAACACTTTTGAGTCTTTCAACTTCAAATTTTCACCTTTAATTCAATGTGTTACTTGCTGTTTCTTTGTAATTAGTTGTGAAATTTGTTTCCAAGTCAATCTTTTTTTCAGTGTATTTTCTGAGAAAATATGTGGTTTTAAAAAATGGTCAAACATTACAGCACTGAAAAATTATGATAATAGCCTATATTTGCAGTGATATTATTATTATTATTAGACAAAAAAGGTCTAGAAACAGTGTAACACATTGCATTTTTTTTTATAAAACGTATAGCCTAATCTTTGTCTATTTACTAATATATATTATGCCATTATAATACAATATGTTATGGTTACATATGGTTATTTATTTTGAATTCCTGACTTTTTAGGGACCGTATTCCTGAGAATGACGAGTGCAATCTTTTGGGTACCAAAAATGCGCGTCTAGCTCCATCACCCTTCCCACAACATGGATACATAAGAAGATCCCCCATCATCCAGCGCGGTTGAGATCGTGTGATGGGGAACAAGAGGGGCTTCTGCCACTTTAATATGCCCTGACGTCATTCTGATGCAGGACTGAGGATGACCTCGTGCGCGAGGAAGGGGAGAGAAATCAAACGTATCATATCGTATAAAATTCAGCCTTGGCTTTCTGGCAGCACTACGGCCGTTATACGCCGGGGTCTGTTAGTGCCGTGTCCAACAGAGCTGTATCACACAGGGATGCAGGGATGCTGAGAGGCCTGCCGGCGCGTGGAATGCGCGCGTTGTCACAGCGACAGAGCAGCTTGGATACAGAGCGTCACAGAGCGAGTGAATGCGCATGAGAGAGAGAGAGAGAGAGAGAGAGAGAGAGAGAGAGATGGGCAATCAAAAACCTCACAGCATCTCTCCAATCGCAAAGGCTCCCGGAATCACGGGGAAACGACAGCGGAGCCGGTGAGCACCACGACCGCCCTCAGTAGCTGGAATCAGACGCTCGAGATGCCGATAGATTAAACACGAGACTTCACTGATAAAGTCAGCACGTTACGTCGGCGTTTGTTCCCGGAAAACCGAAATAAATCACCTCAAAAACGGAAAGAGAGTGTCGATTCGACTCATAGAGGGGAAAAACAGGTCATAGAAGTGAATTTGTGCTTGTTGCTTCGTTTTCTATCCATATGCGCTATAATGGGAGAAGCCGGCGGTCGTTTCCAAACAAGCTTTTCAACGGACAAATCCAACTAGACTTCATTTAAACGTTGTGTTGATCGAGCTGCGCGCGTGAGCAATTCTTCACTTTTGAAGTCGTTTCATCTGAATCCGTCTTATGACTGGGTGTTGTCGGGAGAAACCGTGAAACATTTTCTGCTGTTCTCGGACAACGGAGAACCTTTTGGTTTAGTCCGAGCTCAGGCTGATGGAATTGCGCTGAGCAACGCTTGAGAAAACGAGGAAATACCCACAGAGCTCCAATATACAGACATCTGATTTCTGCCTGCGGCTCATTCCCAGGTAAAGGCACTTCTGTGGAAAATATATTATAGATTCAACTCTTTCTCCTCTGACTGTTTGTTAGGCTGTTGTATAGTAAGCAGGGTTTCCATTTGGAAAAGTACATAAAATGTTGTTGGGATATGGGGAAATAATAGGAGCGCTTTTTGCTGTTTAAACTGTGTGGTGCTGCAACCTGTTCAGGAGCCTTTTCCAAAATGCAGAGCGACAGGCGCTGCATCCGCGCGCGTTTCAATTGGGGCATAACGGGCGCACGCGCGGATGGTGCTGTAGCGTGCATGATTGTGTGTGTGTCGGGATATTAAACGTGCATATTGACCCATTTTAATACTAAGCGTAAAGATGCTTTAAAATTGTCTTTCCTTTTTGGCCAGGACAGATTCATATCTATGTCTGTACAAATTCAATCCAATTCCAAAGCACTGTTTTCACACATTTGGGTTAACTGTTTTTCTTTTTAATTTTACATTTTTTTTTTATTATATCTTAAACATTGATGTAATATACCCACATTTATTTTCATACAACTTAGACTAGTTTAGAAATCGATAAAGTAAACCAGAGTACCAGCCTCACTGAGTTGTACACTCTAAAAAATGCTGGGTTAAATTCAACCCAA